TTGACTTCTGTTTCCTGGTTTCGAAACCAGCCACCGTGTCCCTAATTTCTCAATTATTCAATGGCTGCCCCAACTGAACATTGGTACCTTTCTCAAACTTCCGTGACATACCTGCTGAATATCAACTAACGGAGTTGAAAGCAATGTTTGAATAATCTATGAAACGTCCAGGTGACTTACTCATTAACATTATACTAACATAGGCATTACACTTAGTTGCACTGACAATGCAAGGTGACAGCCTGTGATTTTATTGACACTGTCAACCAATACAAGTGCTGAGATATCCTCAACAGCCTCTCCATCAAAGAGTGTTTTTTTCCTGTTGAAGGCTATAGAATCTATGACGGACCGAATGGCACGATACGACCCATTGATCTGACTCGCACATTTATACTTATGTATGTGTTCCGTTGAGTGTCCCAATGCTTAAGCAATAGAAGTTACGGTCGTTCTAAGTTCAAGGATAGGGACAGAGGAGGATCCAGTGCACACGGACACCAGTGTTTACAGAGATTAAGAGCCAAGTACATGGGAAATGTTATACAATAAAGTAGTCCATCGATTCCGGTGAAACAGCAGTGCGACGTCGGATGGGCTTTGTTAGGTGATCTTAGAACTGTTAGCACGATTGTAACACAGAACCGTTCTGGCGTACTTTTAATATATGTTCTACGGCTGCCGTTTGAGAAGGTCGCCTAAAGTTGCATTTTAAACCCACTTGTGGATTTTCCTTTAAGAAGAGTAAAGATGTGATGCATTTTAGTGTATGCACCCTAGAGGATTGATCGATTGAAATGTTGAGAGGGATTGTAACTGTTCCTGGGCTTTGTTGGGTCCCATTGGCTTTGTGAATTCAACGACTGTCACTTTCACTTCAGTCCTCATTTGCTTCCTATATCAATAAATACGGATTATAAATCCCAAAAGTCTTTGATTTTTGGTGTTCCGGGCCTATAAGGTGACGCGTACGCTGGAGCGGCGCGTTACACTTTTTGGAGAATTACGATCAATCAAAATTCACGGGTGACGTGAACAACGCGCGTACGTGTCACTGCTTCTGACCACACCATAGTTAGATCGTACCAGCCCATATGAGACAGTGCGGCAAGACAGAAGCAGAACGATGCAAGAAATACTGGAACACGATTGGTAGAAGCCTGGATAATCAATGAACTTACTTTGTACATATTGTCCAATTCCCTTTATTTCTTTCAATAAACGAACTGTTACTGCTGAGCTCTTTTCCTCACGTCTCAGTTAAGTGCTAGTACCAGTGCGATCCAGTGCGTTGTGCTATTTCACGTAAATAGGAAACAAAAAAACGGTTTAGCCAGGTGCCCGGTGATCGAGTGGGTAGCATGCTCACTTTCTGTCTGTGAGGTCCAGCGTTCGATCCCCCAATTGGATTATTAATGCTGATGAGACCCAGCCAGGTCGAAACAGCTGTCCAATGTCTCTAAGTTTTCCAGTTTACACTTCATTCGCTATTTACACGACAAATTCTCCTTTGACATTGAATCGAATTCACGACTACACACATGAAAAAATAATTACCTTGATTTTTCTCTCCAAATCTGGCCTGATTATTATGCTCAGTGAACCGAGATTTTAAACGAATACCGTAGCCTAAATAACGCTCGTATTCGAAGTGTGAACTACGAATCGTTCTTGATGCTGATACGGATGAAGATATTGGTGTATTTACAACCGAAATGTGGTGGTCATGCGCATTTAACACATATCTCAACATCTTTTTCGTGTCTCAGTGTCTCAAAGATCATATTTCAGAGAGACAATTTTAACCATCTTGAGAGGTTTCGTTATTCGAGAATTTTTTCTTAAAGATTTTGAGCAATATAATCTATGCCCCCATTTCCAGTGTTACCATTTATTCAGTATGTTGTATAGTGTGTGAACCCCTCCAGGAGTTGTGCATTCGAGAAAATGATTATACATGAATGAACTTTCGGCGGATATGGGTTTCATCAATGGAAGTGATAGTTAATCTTGTAGCGTCACAGATATAAATTGTGGTACAATTCTGAATTGACCCAGGTTACTGAATGTCTACGCCCGATAATGTCTCCTACCACGATTTAATCAACAATAAATTCCCCTGAAAAATCAGGCACCTACCACGAGTTTACAACTTCAAGTGGTTTGATGTGTAGCTGCACTAATAATCATATAGCTTAGCTTTCTTTCCTGGATAGTAAACAATGCTTTCAAAGTGGGCATAAACCTGTGCGCTTAGAGCTTCCTTCAACGTTTACGATAAACCAACAACTGGAATCATGTGATGAAATATTTTCGGATATATGGGGACTGATGTTTGGGCAAACAGTTTATTGCTCCTTCGCAGACTTTACAATTAAAAGCTCTTTCTAACAAGGTATTGTGAACTCTTAACACAAAGTCCTCTGGTCAACAGAAACATGATTTCTTTCCATGTTATAGAAGAAACACAAACAATATGCAAAATGGAGCATTCAAACGAACGGCCGGATTTGAAAAACTCTTTCCCTTTTTCATGAATGTTTTATCCACAGTGTGTGGTCCATCATCAAAACGTTGGTTCCTACTGTCTTTCAAATGCTTATCAACTTCATTCGTATTCTTTTGAAATTGCTTCGACTCTTTCTATTTTCATTATATTTCTCTCCGTTCTGTAAACAGACAGACAGTTACACTTATTATTATTATTACACTTATTTGGTATTTGAATAGCTAAACTGCACGACCAAAGAGATTCGGATAATCACAACTTAACCCCAATCCAACCTGCGTCCGTAAGTTGATGAGCACAAATTCCGCTTAATGCATAGCTAAACCGGATGGTTTTTAACTGAATGGAAGACTAAAGTTTGACGAGTAGGTTCATTTTTGTTATTGCGTATAAGCTGATATCCTTCTCTAATACTGGACCCAACTTGTTGAAAATAATAGAAATCGGAAAGAAGTTACTCTTCTATGAGAACCAAAGAGGCTCACTCACAGCTGACGGATTCCCATACTTTTACACCCACAAAAAAGACTGTGCACAAGTGAGTCTAAAGGATATACTTCGATATTTGGATTACCGCAATGTAGTGAAGATACTGCATATGGTGAAGGAATAACTGTGCAGCATTGAAAGTAGAATGTCGAAAGACTAGACTAAAATGTGTCCAGTCTTATTTGTTTAACGGAGGAATACATTTTCTCATGAAAACGCGAATAAGTGGATCTTGAATGAACTACCATGGTGAGATATTTCCCTTAGGCACAGAAAATGATGCATGACAGATACCCCAGGTACCATTTCTCCAGTTTAAAGAACGGACACGTGCAACTAAAGCAACCGAAGATGAGTGATTTCAGACGGAAATAGAACACTCGTGAGCTTTAGTATGCAATCAATAATATTTCTCACATATAACTACAAAGTTGAGTGACACAAAGTGGTAACTGCACGATGCAATAGTTATTTGTGGTTGTGAGCTCTAGAACTCATATTTTGATCGGTCCTCTCTTAATATTGTGTAATAACGAAGCTTTCAGATTACTACAGGAAATCGAATTATATTTACAGGGAAAATGCGTTGCACCCTGTACTATGAAACATAATGTTACTCCAAAGGAAGGTCATTAAAAAGCGATAATTACTCCTTATTTATGATATCATCTGAGATTGCGAAGAGCAAATGCTAAAAGCCTATTGTACGAATGCAGAACATCCATTGTCTCAAATACAAAGTCTACTATACGCCTCGGAAATGAATACTGCTAAGTATAGACCTTCAATTGTGGGAAGCATAACTGATTTTTCTTCCATCGGGTGGAATAAATGGGAACAATATGTAAGTGGTCAGTAGATATATAAATAGAACATCCTGATGTAAAATATCTGATTAGCTTACGTGTTCCAATACAAGAACGAAAAGCCACTTTCTCTTCTTCGGTAGTTTCGTTCTGTAAGTAATTTGCTCTTGAAGCTCATTTCATAAATGTGAAATATTCATGAACGCATTCCAAAGGCGACAATAAACAAATCATATTTATCTCCTTATGTTATTTAACATATGTTTATTGAATGCAATCAAATAGATGACATATTACACACATGTAGAGTGATAAATTGATATTGAGATTCGAACATTCCCCTCCGTTTAGAACACCCACGTATGGACAACCACTATGTTTTCCTGCTACGAGTAGCTACCGCTGACACAAAATTGTCAGTAGCTCATCATTTGCTATCTGACATTGGTATCGATTCAGCACATCCAACGTCATAAGTATGCTTTTAGACAAATAGCAGTATGGCATATTTAGCGTGTCACAATGCCTGGGTAGTCGCACACAATCCCATTACATGTTGTTAATAAAAGTGATCCATCATACATTGTATCAGCAAAACGGCATAATGTTCATGGGCAATAACTGAACTAACACACAAGATTATGAAAGAAACAAGTAAATGAAAACTATCACTTCTACAGGTAAGAGAGAGTGGTGTCTCGGAGATAACTTTATCAAATTATCACCCTGAATCTCAATTGGCTGCTTACATTTTCCCGATAATTGTATTATTGTTCAGTCAGTGATGTAAGTAAACAGGAAAAAAGTAGATAATCAATCGGCCACTAATATAGAAACTGCGATATCAGAGGCTCCATCAATTTTAATTCTAATTGAGTATTACTTAAGGAGACGAAAGCTGCTGGTCAAATAGTGTTGACGCTTTCGTCCATCGGGGTCATTTCCTTCAATGGTTTACGTCAGTCAGTCTGTCATGTGCTAAACCAGGCAGTATTCAAACAAATGGTATGACATTGAAAGTGCTGAATTGACGTGAATATCAGACAACAAAATATGAGATGCATTCCACTTGCAAAAATAATTATTCCTCACATGACAAAATAGAAATGGAGCTTGAAATAGCATTTTGACTTCTGCATTGACCAAATTCCGTGGTACCCAATATTGTTTGATGTGGCATTTAGTCTGCTGGAAGAATGTTGTCGAATTTTGATATTCTCGATCTTGCCCGATCCACAGCTACCATTCGTTTCCTATGGAGAGTTCCGAGAGGCATGTTCCGGTTATCACGAGTTGAGATGCAACAACGAAAGCATCAACTCCGACAGAAACGTCTAAAAACCTCCACAAAAGAAACACTAGGACGAAAATATGATAAAAAAGAAGAATCTGAGAGGAAAGAAGAGACTCCAAAAACAGTGGATTCAGGCAGCTCCAATGAAAAGAAACAACCTGTACGCAAAACCTCAAAAGGAGATCCGGAGGCCAAAACCTCAAAGCAATCAATGCTCAATGGTATTCCCAGTCCTGTCCTACTAAGACGTGCTGAACAAACCTAAAATACCGATGAGTCAACGGACATCACAGTATATTATTTAATGCATTGGACATCGAACACCACAATCAAGAGAGGTTGGTTCAAGTTTAAAACAAACAATTTTATTAAATCCATTGCTAAAATTTTAGAAAGCTTGTGGGTTACATAAGAGAGATCACAGTTTTATTTTGAAAATAATCTTTTTCGGATACGTTTTAAACAGGTTATTCCGTTGTATTGAAGTTTGGTCACACAGGAAGGAAACAAGGCAGTTAAGTAAATTTCGTATTTGCAAAGCTAGAGTACATATCTTACAATTGATATGAAAAAAACAGATTAAAGTATACAAGCTTTTCGGTAGACCTCCATTTTTACTTACCATTTATTTACCATTTTCACTTTCAATTACTTTTTTGTTAAGAATGACACATAATATAGGCATCAGTGTACAACTCCTTGTCCAGTATTGTCAGAATATCTGCTTACTTCACCGTGGATTCTCGGACGGTTTTATCAGAAAATCTGTAGTAAGTAACGACTATATAAACATTTGAAAGACACAATAAACACCATAAAAATGAAAAAGGATACGGTTTGACACAATTTATTTGATTGAACCTCTTCATCTCAAGGCATGAAGTTCGAAGATGGGTGCACTGGTACTCTGTGATACCTCATAAAAGACAAAAAACGCACAATGACAGGTAAATTCGTACTTTTTGGATGAATATGGAGCAATTTTACAAACCGTTTTGAAGACACGTTTAGGATTGTTTTGTCCTCGGTCAACAGTTTACGACTTCGGGAATATTATACCATGGACCGTCGGTTGATGGTTGAACGACAAGTAGGAATGTAAAAAACCTCGACGGTATTCGGGACCTTTCAATTGAGAGATAAACATCCTCTAGAGGAGTTCTTACATCACTCCTTGAAAGAATGAGTAATTGGTGGTCATGTCCTTGCATATGTTGATCCAACTGGCTTTCCATCAAATAGTGACTTACGCCCTTCACACCCAAATTTGGTCTTCGCTTTCCAATACAGTTTTCAGTTGAAATTGTTCTCAACCCCGGTCACCATCGCAGGTCTGGATAAGGACTGTAATGGAACAACGTTTACCAAATGGTGATCAAGTTTACAGTTGACGTATCCAAACTGTTTTACTCTGTGAGACTGAATGTGTTTGGAGATGTGTGAGTCAGTAGCGGTTTCCAGTTGATTCGATTGCTATTCTATCACATAAACTTACACACGAGATGTAAGAGAGGCAGCATTAATCCAAGACATAATTATTTGCTATTTTTGGCTATCAATGTCTGGTCTTCACACCCATTACTGAGAACTGGAAAGAATACTGTGAAATATGCATCTAATTTCCTACCGTTTCTAATCCCACTCTTGTGCTAGAGGGTATTTTATCCAAAGAGGCACTGATTCAACCTGGTATTTCAGGCGTTTAACAGCATCCGGAACTTGTCTCAGTGGGTGAATTGGTGGATTCAAGCTATACCACGTCAAATACCGTTTATCTGTTTATGGATGTTGTCCCCTCCAATTTTGCAATATACGGAATTCGGACGTTAATTAAAACCTGACCAGATAGATAACCTTCAAACACTTGATGTATGCTTTTATGGTAAATATGTCAAACATGAAGTGGAATTACCTTTACTTTCTTTTTTTTTAATTTATTGCTGAAATGTTCATTTTAGTTTTGCTTCATTACGTTGAAGTTTTTCTGAATGCAGTAAAACATTCTTTTGATATAAATGCATCATTTAACCAGCAAAAGCGAGCCTGAACAACCCAAGCGTTCGGTCATAAAACACAAGGTTGGCCGCAATATTGCGAAATAACTGGTTCACCACGAGGTCTCGATAGAAACATTCAGGAACAAGTACAGAGACTCTTGAGCTCATTGTTTGTTTCTCAGTGGAAGAAAGCCGTGAACGATTTTTGACGATTCAGTTTACAAATCAATCAAGTATGTACCAGGGATTAATGTGGTGACCAAGTTCAGAGAAACACTAACAAGGAATAGCGCGCCTTATTCTAACACGTAATAGAATGGAGATCATTTGCTGGATTATTTGACGTATTTGCAGTATAAGAACTTTCCAGGTTCAGTATTTAGTTGATTGTTCTTTATTCCGTCAAATATCAGTCAATTGGCTTTATTCTGCAAAGGATCAACGCATTGATTCGTATACAATATGCAACTACAATCTTACAATCCAGAAGCGCTACCATTGAAACGAGGTGAAATAAATATTTAAGTAACAAATTGTAATATAATTGTATCATAAACGTGTGATTTGGTCATAGGCTCACTGGTGTTTTCGTTCTGCAAAGCGAGTGATGTCTGACACGTTAGTTTGTCACACATTACAAAATCAGCTGCGAGGCAAACCTTTGAACATGTGTTCAAACGTTTGCCTGCTTATCAAGGCATCATATTGCCATGTGCTGTTCACCGAAATGGTACAATTGTGTTACTATGTAATCCATCAACCGGTTGACATCAATGTTTTCTCTTGTCAATCTAGTTAGGGAATGTACCGCTAAGGAGGTGAATGCATTTCAATTTCGACAACCAACAACTTATTAAACGAAAGGAATTGAGAGCCATTCATGATTGATTTTGAAATATCGTTTCCGTTTTTGGAAGATTGCAGCTTGAAAAACATAATTTGATATAGCGTATTCGAGAAGACTCTCTTACTGGCGAAACAGATCCAGAAAATGCTCAATATCGATTTTTGAGAAAAATTTAGTAATTTAGAATAAATGCAATGGTTACGTGTGTAATTAACGGTAGATAATCTGCACCACTAAATCACATTTGATCTCTACTTAATCCGAGGAGTCAAAATGCATTTCGATCATGTGCAAATAGATTTAAAGAGTTCTTTTCAGAATTCGATACTGAGCTTTGATTTGGAAAGCCTTTTTGATTGTCAGAATATTGGCAATTCTGACTGATGTCCATTTTCCCACGTGTGCAATAGAATGAGTGCATAGAGGAAATTTCGCGATAGAGTATGTCATGTCCAGCTGAAAACTTGTGTTGTCTCTTTTGTTTTGCCTAGAGAGAATTTATGGTTCATAAATGAAATCTTAACTTAATAGATCACACAGTGCAATATAGTTCAAACCTCAGGCTTTTCATTCACTAAGGCAATAAAATCATTGGTTTAACACCGTTGCAAGGAATAGTTTATTGTGAGAAAAGCTTTTAGTCAGCTCGCAACTTCAAAATCATTAGGCGTAAAATGCGCTATTAAAATGAGATTGCAACTAGTAACATGCAAAAAAACTTAATTTAATATGATGTGTCCTTGTTGAAAGTGAAAGTTATACTAATGTGTACCTTAAAGACACTAAACGTAAAGAGTACTCGGTATAGGCTCATGAGCATAATGTACATCACTAAGCGATACCTCAAGTTGAATTAATTACCATTTTTGATCAAACACTGGCAAGCTTCATCGCCTATTGTCAAGGAGCCATCAGATTTTGTCACTGTATGCAAAGTTTTGACATTCCAAAATAAATGAGTTTGAAATCACCTAAGGTTGAGTGGGTCTTTATTACGAACACATAACGAGAACAAGACATTGATGTTTATGGAACTCAGCGGTCTGCGCTGATATCACCAGATGATGGTACTATCTTCATTCGCAGCTCACCATGAATTCCATTTTTTTATTTCTCAACTGTCCATAAATCAATTATTGCCAAACAACCGAAAATTACTTTGGGATGGAAACATCCGTATCACAAATTTTGCAAAAATGGTTTTCACTACTTTTGCCGATACCGAAAGCAGAATAAGGAAGTGGCAAATAACCGAGTCAATGTACTTAATATGAACGAGGTTATTCCCTTTTCCGTTGGTGTAGGAAATTGATGTTATGAAGCATGTGTTTTAAGCTTGATCTAACATGCTAAGTTATGTTGACGATTGGGGTAATGAGTGCGGATAATTGGGTTTTATCTATTCGTTGAAACACGAAAATTTCAATTCCACTGTCTCAATTGAAAAAAATAATTGTGATGCATTTTTGATTTTGACATGATGGGATTGGAAAAGTGTGCAATAAAGTGATTTTTTCATTCGGGCGCAATGTCCATGTAGCTTGAAACGAATATCGGAACAATAAAGAATAACGACAATTGTTTCATGGGTGAGAATACAAGAATTCATGAAGGCCGGTCAAATTCGCCGTTTCGCAGCAACGCAATGTGACAAAGTAGATAGATAAGAACATTAAGAAATAGAATGAACCAAAAGTAATGGGGTTTGCCAAATGAACGAAACAAAGGGAAGCGGATAATGTCGGAGAAAACATAATTGTTACTGACATCATAGGGTAGAAGAGGTGAGCATCACGTCAATCAAAAACACTTGTGCCGAGGTCAGTTTGCTGTCGCATGTTGTTGAACACTGTGAAATGTTCTAATGCAGGTCACAAGGACGGTGTTTCAGACTGGTGTTTGAACGAGTTGTAACTGAAAATACCTCCCAAAACAGATACACGAGAGTGGCGTACAATAAAACAAAATGTTTCATAGTGTGTGATAATAAACGGGAAACAGTAAGATTGTTGGTGTTGTGTATACGATACAGTAAGAGAAAAGATAAAATAACCCCACTTCATCTGAGTAAACAAATGCAATGCTAATTTAATTGTTGACAACAGATCCTAAGTTTGGATATATTTAGAAACTAAGCCTCAAAAATTGGTTATATGTGACATCGGACCTATTCAACGTCACAACGACGTAAACTGCACAGCAGCTATCAGTCACCACTCTCCCAATTAGGAACTATACGCAGGACAGGATATAAACTCCAGAGACCTATAGCAAAACAGGAACAAGCGAAAATGAAATCCAATATGGAGAATTTTCTGTTGATCGCTTTATGCGTCTACGGTGGAGTCGGTCAGTAATACGTTTTGTGCTAAACGTATATCCAATTAACAGCACAGGATTGTCAAGAAGTTATTGCATCGG